GGGGAGCTCCCCTAGTCCATAGCCCTAACGAAAGAAAATTAGAGAGTAGGGATACAGTCTCGACATGCGCATTTTTTGACTGCCTTGCTCAAGCTTTTGATTTTGTAACTCCGCCAACAGTGCGGAGAGTCTTTCACACCGCCAACAATGCGGAGAGCGTTTCACTTTAAGCCGCCTCGGCAGTGGCACTCATGGGCTGCGCTTGCGGCAAGGCATCACAAGCATCGCAGCCAGAGCAAGATGCCCAGGAGCTGTGCAAAGAGTGTTGAAGTTTACACTGTACCATTCCCACGCTCTGATAAACAAGCACTTAAACATCGTAAAGCGGCTCTGAGATCAAGGGTATCAAGGTGAGGAGCTTTGAATCCAATCTGAATGTAGGTCTTGATAGCTTTTGGCTGAAATGACAGCCTGCAGCTGTGGGTTGACCCCAAGATTCCTGATGATCGGATTGCCTCCAGGATTTGCCACGACTTTTGGCTCGGCAGCTGCCTGCCACCGAAGGAGGGGAGATAGAACCGGCACCTGAGAGCAGCTTCCTTGCCAACTGTGGCGTTGGTTGTCAAAACAGGAGTTGAGCACTGGAAAGATGTAATTATGAGGCTTATGAAACAGGTCTTGACATTCAGCACTGTGTGGCATGGGTTGCGCGCTTGCAGTTGTTTGGCCGGGTTCTTCACCTATGCTTGCTCCTCGAAACCGGTTCATGTGTTAGGCACCACGTAGGATGTGCGATGAGCACTGTCCCAAGACCAGGCCATTGCGATACCTGTTTCACAATTGATTAGGTAGAGTACCTGATGGGAAAACATATTTGTATGTATATATATATATACGTAAAATCATACAAAGCACTACCTTACATCACTTGTAAGAACCTAGAGAACCATGCTTTTCTCATGGTCGGGTCAGCATTTCAGGAGATGTTGCCAGCAGTTCATGGCAGCGGGAAGGCCTGGTGAGAGTGTCGAATCACCCAAGAGATTGCCTTAAGGACTTAAATGGATACCAGGGGAGTTTGACACTTTCAAGATGTAATAGGATTCGTCCCATCGTCATCTGGATTCATCCTCCTATTTACCTGAGCTTCTTGAGTGCACCAGCTGCAAATTCTACATGGTCTTTTGCTGTTCGACACATGCAAAGTAGGCTTCGGGTAGGTGGAACTCCAAGGCGGCGTGGTTTCCGTGGAGCGTCTCCTTCAGCTGATGCCGTGCGATTCGTCTTGCCCTCCAGGTGGTGCATCCAAGGCAGCAGGCAGTGAAGTCGACCACAAGACCCAGAGCTCAGAAGCGGACAGTCGCCCACCTCAGCGATCTGTTGCTCCTCGGATGAGCCCAGCTGGGACATGTCAGGAGTGGGGTTGGATTTGTCGTTGAACAGACTTGAAATTGGTTGGTGAAGGTTGTTGGTGAGATGTGCAAGAGACGGGTGCCAGGCACCTTCTCCCATCTGCAGGATTTTGAATGGAGACCATATTTTTGATTTTCTTTTCGGATATGTTTTTAGCTAGGTGTTCCCTGCTTTTGCTAGCCTTGCGTCTACTAGCTTCTCCTTGCTTTGGCTGTTTTTGTAGTTTTTGCCGCATGTTTGACTGTGTTTGCTTGCTTTTTGCTTGAATCATCATCATCATCACCATCACCAGCAGCAGCATCGTCATCATCATCATCGTCATCATCAACTTCAGCTTCAACTTCTTCTTCATGTTCATCTCAGCGGCAAACCTCTCCAGATGCAACTCCCAATGCGACGGCGCGCCAACGGCCACCACCCAGGAATCCCAAACCAAAACACTTAAAACAAGACAAAAAAACAAAAACAAATCATAGCCATGTTGAATTCCCAGAAAGCCTTAAAGTGATGTGTTTGAAGATGTTGCTGTGAAGCAACTACTTACACTGCATGTGTTGCTTTCACCGATTGCTTTGAGGCACTGGGACCCTCTGTGGACGTTGGAAACGTCCATCCAGGCACAACAGGACTGCTTGTCATGACCGTGTCAACACCACGGGATTGCCCCAGGAACAGGTCCTATCGGCTGCCTGTAACCCAACCAAACACACCCAGTTCAAGTGCTTTCATTTGGAGGGAAACCGCAGCAGAATGACAGCAATGAATGCTATGATACAATAATATAGGTAAGGCCAAGACCAACAATGTTTTCAACAGTCAAAGGCCTCGTCTTTCTAGAGACATCCACGTGGAGTTTTTGGTTCTGTCATGCAACGCAACATGAAATGGATTGATTTCACGCCCCAAGATATGTCCATCCCATTCGATTCTTGGCTGAGGATATTTATGATACACATGCATAAGGCCACTCACTGCAGCTTTCAACATTTCACTGATTCTGAACTCCTTGATGCATGATTGACCATGCCCTTTCCTGAATGATACTCACCGCAAAAATCAGATCCACAACGTCGGCTCTCGAGAACTTGAGCATTTCCACATGCATGCGTCCTGCACAGCACTCGCGGTGGAAAATATAGAACAACAAGCTGATCTAATGTCATTTGGCTAGGACTTAGTGGTGGCGCGCCTCACATGCCCTGGCAGATGGGCAAACCCCTGCTCCCAAGGGCCACGTGCCTTTAGCTCCCACAGGAGATGCAGCAAGCAGCTCGGAGCCGTTCCAAGGCCTGGGGCTGTGGGCTGTGTGGGATGGCTGTAGGGGCCCTCTAAGTCATCCCAGAATGGTGTTCTGTGGGGTCTAATTCAGCTGATTCACTGGGTCCTCCTGTTGTGAGAAAGCAGCAACTGGCTTGGCTAGTGGATGTTCATCGATGTGAAGATGGACGGCAGTGGAGATTGAAGGCGTCCCGGATTGAAGGGTGTACTTCGGTTTGGGGTTGGAACGCAGGGGCAGGTTTGAAACAGCACGGACGCACCTTTTGATGACATCAGCTCACAACATGACCCCGGGCCAGAAACTCCGATCACGAGACCTTTGAAACTGACCAACTAGTCGTGCAAGTTGTGTTTATGTGCTGTCGCAATTCTGATTGGAAGCATTTCTCCAAATGGCATGTCAAAAAGTCCCACCTTAGCCCCCTCTATGTTGGTGTCCACAGGGTCAATCGCCGAGCTCGCCAGGTAGCCACCTCGACCAGGAGACACAGAGTCCAGAAGCCAGCAGCCGCCAACGGCCACAATCTGAAGCAACGCAACTGCAACGAAGAGACCCCATGAACTCAGACATGATCTCAGATATGAGCCAGACATGGACAGACATGTTACTTCTGGTCAGATGTCACTATGGTCATTAGATACCATTTCGCAGTTCCCCACCAGGAACATTGAAGTTATTGGACACCAGTTTCTGGTATGAAGCCGCTGCTTGTTTCGGTTTTACCCGTGGCTTTCATCAGGCATTGGGACCCACAGTGGAGGACTTTCGAGTGACGAGTTTCTGCTCTTGGGAATCAGAGCTGATGCAGGCGCGGCAAGTGTCAGCTCGTTGTCATATCAGCTAGAGGCATCCGAATATCGCACAGACCCCTTCGTCTGAGGGTCTTCCTTTTCCCTGACGGAGCAACTCGTTCCTGGGGGTGGGGCCCGCGCAATGCCCATGTACTGCCTGGTTGCTAGACTATCGCTTTTTCCGGTGAAGTGAGCTATGTAAAAGGCATTTTGCAAAAACCTTGTCCACCCCATGCATTTTACGCTTCGAAAGTTTGAGGAGCGTAAAGAACCCTCAAGACCCCGAACCCTAATCAACCCTAAAAAACTCAAAGAACCCTAACGTTAAAAAGGCTAAAAACAGAAAGAAAACTGAAGTACCCTAAAGTACCCGAAAAAGGGCTCCAAAGGACCCGAAAGAACCTTAAAATTCCTGGAGCCTCAAAATGCTGGCCAGTGTGGGTCATGGGTGACCGCAGGGGTCAGTAAGGCGAAGTAGATGCTTTAATTGGGGGATTGCGATTTTCTTTGCAGCTTGCTGCTGCGATTCACAAAGGAGTTCCATTGGGTTCTCCTATCGTTCATACGGATTCTCATCTCCGACAGTGCTTTCTCCTTATGACAGGCGCCAAGTTTTCATTTGATCTGATTCCCTTTTTGGAAACTTCCAGGTGGCTTCAGACCTCAAGGAGAAACTCTGCGACCCACACTTCGTGGCCATGCGCTGCGATCTTGACAGCTCCGGTGATTTGGATGCGCACGAGCTGAAGCCACTCGGTTCGAAGCCAACATGCTTTTCAAGTGCTGTTGGTTTGGTAAAGTAGTAGTTGGGTGTTTGCCCACTTTTTTCCAGGCCGTGAATAAGTACCTCCAGCAAGGATGTGGACCCTGTGGGAATGTCAGGTTGCGAGGGTGCAGAAATCTATAGAGGTGTCGGTAGGGTGGTAGACAGCCAGGTTTGGCTGTAAAAGTTTACCGAGTCATCCTTCAGCTTTTGAAAAATCACCACTCGCTGAACCTTTGAGTTGAGCCCCAGGGGCTTTGCCTGACGGGTTCCGAGGCAGGCGGCGCGGGTCTTCGGGATGAGACCCTCGGAAGAAGAGCTGCGCAATCACATGGCCGGGCACCAGCGAATCACGAAGGCTGGCTCTGCGGGGCCATATGCTCAGAATCATCCATGATGGTCCGATTGTCCTTCAAGATGGTGGTGTGAGGTTGACATGGGTGGGACCTTGTAAATGCTGGGTGGATGTCGCTTTCTTGATGTGTGGTCTCCTTTGAGAGAGAGCGCGTTGGGGTTTGTGTTGAAAGTCGAAGATGTAGGTTGAAGCCCTCAAGGTGGAACTGGAGTTCATTCATGGTGATTTATCTATCTTCGAATCGTTTCCAGTTTTGTTCAACATGGCCTGCTGAATATGTTGAGGGGCGTCACGTTGGCAGGAGCAGTTTGCGAAGATCGTCCATGACTTTCAACAAAGACCTGAATCAGCGCAGTCCCAGCGAATCTTGGCATGGGCCCGGTGAGTTAGTGTGCGCTGGCTGTAGGTCCAAATCCCTTGCACATTTCAGCCATATTTGGGAGGACTGGCTGAGAGCATTGATCTGATCGGTATTGGGCTAGGCACCGGCCAGTTTAAGATTCCAAGTGCTGCTCAAACTCGACTTTTGTCAAGCTAATCATGCTTACCTTCGCAGTGATTACCCCGGCCTTTCCGCCGCAGTGGGCTTGCACCTATCTTCAGATCCTTGAGACATTCCAGACCCAGAAATTCTTGTTTTGATGCTCACTCCACCTGAGCATCACATGAGCATGACGCGCATAGGTAGGCTTGGCAATCTTTCAATTTGCGTTGGGTTCGTGGGATGTATCTTGCATTCAAGTGTGGAGGCAGGCAACTACCTACCGGGGAGTCATCAAGGGAATTGAATATTGCAATGGAATTTGTTCGCGCCTTTTTTCTCTGAAATATCCTTGTTGAGCCAGTGATTTCAACTTGCTGCAGGAGTGGTTCCACACGCCCTGCGGGGCATGGCCTTGGGCCAGCTGGAGCATTTAGAGGAACTCTTCGTGAAGTCTGGTTGGTTGGCCAGACAATGCGCCTCTTGTCCCTTATGTTGAAGCTTTATGTCTCTCAGTACCTCTTATTGGACCATGAGCCTTTTTGCGGGACCATATGTCGCAAAGTGAAGATTCGTCATATATATACTCATACATTCATACTGCATCTTTTTTTTGGAGAGCACGGTAGGCAGGGCCACAGCTGGTGCCCACAGCTGGCCAGCAAAGGTGGTTTGGTGTATTTTGGGTGAGGACCATGGCAGCTTTGAGATAAGGACAACTTCAATGAAGACAATGCCCAAGCGATCCTGGCTGGAGAGATTAAGTTCCCACAGGCACCGAACCTGTATGCGCTGGACACCTACGTGGTGACACCGATGTCGAAGCCGGGGCCATGCGCAGCCCGTGATCAGGACTCCAATCGCTCCATACCTTGGGCGGTCCTGAAACTTGCATGCAAAAAACACAACTGGATTCTCACGGTTCTTTTTACTCCACTGAGTTCAGAGTTGATTTGTTGGCATTGGTTTTTGTCTTCAGTTACTTTCGTTTGCTTGCCGCACTGTTTCTATGGATGTGCGTGCGCAAGAGCGCTGCAGATTTGAGGCAAGCGTCTTTTTCGGAGCTGCTGAATCCCCGCGGACTCTTGGTGCACATCTTCGTTTCACACTTCTGGGGCCACCTCTATAGCAACTCGGCCTGAAGCTTTTCCCCGGCCTTTGGTGGCCAACAGGTGCGGCAGCTAGGTCATTCTGAAAAGAATTCAAAAAGGGGTGATTTCTGAGGCCAGTGGCAGCCAGAAAGGTTTATTATGCTAAGCCAGTTGCATTGATCAACACTTCGCTCTTGAGGCAGCACGCTTGCGGCACTCCGATTGTGGGCTACAAAGCATTTTTCCAACTTCGCGCAGCATCCGCAGTCGGCGGTCTTTTGGATCTGTGTCACGGCAGCATCATGATTTAGTCGAGCCGCCTTTCCAGCCCCAGCAGTCATGAGAGCATGTGGCCAAGCTGCCAATGTGTTTCGTTTGGCAAGGAGCAAATTTCGAACATTCATCCTCACTTCTCTCCCCTCTCTGGAGCTTTTGAGGTCTATTCGCTCTCAACCAACACGCGGTGGCCGACGAAGTTGGGGAAAAGCCCATGCAGGGGCCTTTCAATGCAGCATTAGCACAAGCAACAGGGGGCGCTGTGATGGTGCCTTGGATTCTACAGGTCTGGTTGACATCCAAGTTGGTATGCTACCTAGGCACTTGTCTAAGTTCGCTTCCCGCCACAGATTCATCATACATCACAACATTTTCCAAGGTGGGAGACCGTTGTGAGAAGTCTCCTTTTCTTATTATCCTGCTGAGTTAGAATTGTGACAGCGCCTGTGGCTTGCAAATAGGCTTTAGTCCCCATTGCGTGATTTCGGTGGAATTGGATGGAATCAGAGGTGCTTGACCAAAGCGTGAACCCGTTCAAGCGCATCTGGTGTCTTTTCGAAGTGTCGCGCCTCCGAGATTTGCAACGACCCTTCGAGCTGATCTGCGACTCAGCCATCGTTAAATCCCAGGATTGAAGTGCAAAGTGTCTCTAATTTCATCTTGATCTCTGGAAACTTGAGGCGATTTGGGCTCACTGTCAGATTCAGCTGGTTTGGTTCGTGGCTCAAAGGCAGAGCAACTCGAGATCCAGCAGGCGACGTGTGAAGCCTTGTGGAACGTATCGGCGAGCGACTTGGTTCGCAAGTGCCCTGTTGGAGTCTTGGAGTTGGGCAAGTCATTGGTTCGTGTTGTTTGGGCAAGATGGGTTTGGCATCGAAATTGCCGGCTTCCCTGAAGGCAAGGCCGAGAGCTCAAAAGAGGCCGACAAGTTCAGCATCTGGGCGGAGGTTGCGGACAGTTGTTTGAGGCAAGGCATCTGCGGAGTGGGTGCAGAAAGGTTTTTCCGTCAGGCGACCACTGAACATGGAATTGATCTCGATTCCGCCTTTTTCGGGGCCTTCAACCTCCACATGCGCTCGCTGCTTTCCACGAGCCTCCTTCAGAACTTGCTGGGCTCTTCCGATTTCATTTCGGCTGCCCGGTGCTGCGTCCATGGAGCATCTCTCAATGAAGAGCAGCTGGACAAGCTTTGGGCCAATTTGGATAGCGGAGTGGACAGCGGAGAGTGGCTGGGTCAAATGCTGCATCAAACCGCGAGCACTGGGAATGCATCACTTTTGCATCTTCTTCTGAAGCTCGGAGCTGATGCCAGGTACACTCTCGGTGGTCATGACATGACAAGCCTGTTAGTTCTGGGAGCTCAAAATGGCCACGAATCCGTGGTGAAGCTGCTGCTGGGACTTGGAGCTCATGCCGGTGCGGCAAACCATGGAGTGACAGCGCTGATGAATGCAGCTTATGGTGGCCATGAACCAATTGTGAAGCTGCTTCTGGAACATGGGGCTGATGCCAGTGCAGCAGGCAATGATGGAATGACAGCACTGATGCCTGCAGCTGAAATTGGCCACGAATCCGTGGTGAAGATGCTGCTAGAACATGGAGCTGATGCTAGTGCAGCATCCAATGATGGAATGACAGCGCTGATGCCTGCAGCTCAAGCTGGATATGAACCCGTTGTGAAGTTGCTGCTGGACAAGAGAGCTGATGCCAGTGCAGCAGACAA